TGGCGGAGTGCCAGAATACGATAAAACCAAGAAGACAGCCGGCGTGAAGAAGCCCTTCACTGGAATCATTCAGAAGGTAAACGCTCCTACACAGTGACAGGTATCAGTATTTAAATACAGTGCCAGTGTTTAGTGATATAGTTATTAAGCAAAGATTATCGCTCATTAATTTAATTTCAGGTTCGTCACACTGGCAGCGAGAAGGCACAACACAAGTCAACAACCACAACACTATAAATAATCCACATACATACTGAACACTGGGGGAGAAAAGAATAACTGTAGTCACGCTTAATTTATCCTTCTTATGTTATAATTTATTTCCATATTTTTGAAACGTACAAAAATAGCATTACATTGATAAAATATACTGCTAATATTCATGTATAATGTAGAATAAAATATAGGTGTTGGTAGCCATAAGATTACTTTTTTAAAATTTCAATACTGTACTACTGTGAATCTATTTCTAAAACTAGATACTGTTAAACTGGTTCTACCATTTTACATAGACTTATTTGTTAAATGTTTTGTATAATTACAGACATCTTCACAACAAAAATGTTGAATGAATGTGGTTTTATTAGTGTATAATATCTATACAACCAAATCTATGTACTGTCTATCATATCATTATTATTTATAGATACAGCATCCTCCATAACTATTGGTTAAGATGTGTTAAAAGCCTTAAAATAAATTCAGCTTTTATTGCAGAAGCATACTCTCACACTGAAAATTGTAATAACATGTAACCTTCAACTCAACTCAAATGAATTGTTGACAAAAGGGGGTTGTACAAAACATCAAGGGTGCTCATAATTGTGGCAAACATGATTTGATGTAAAAGAATTATTTTTTAATGTGGGATTTTTTTTCACACTGAAAAAATGCACTTGAATTAAAGGTTGAATTTTCCTCCTTTTTTTTCATTGTGGTCCTATATTGTTTAGAAAAAAACTGATGTTACTAGAAGCTGAAGAACACATCTTAACCAATAATTATGGAGGGTACTGTAGATAGATAGATAGATAGATAGATAGATAGATAGATAGATAGATAGATAGATAGATAGATAGATAGATAGATAGATAGATAGATAGATA